CCCCCCCCCCCCCCCCCCCCCGCTTTCTTGTATGGAAACTTTGTATCATTATCTATTACAAAAGCTATTACTAAAACTCAAACTGTTGACTACCTGGAAAATTGTTCTCCAGAGACTGTGAACTGATCTTGGCAAAGGAGACTGACACTTTCTCAGACTTAAAATTTAATCCGTCCATCTTCCTCACTTTTTTCCAGTAGTTCCTCTAATAACAGGAAATATTCCTGACCTCTTCAGCCTACTCTTCCTAGATATCAAGTCTTCAGGCCTGATGACCAAAATTTCAGGTGGTCATCAAGGAAAGGTGTGTCACTGTCTCAGGCACCTAAAAAAATATTTCCATTCATTCCTAGTGCATAAAGCTGCAGGAATCAACGTGAACTTATTTAAAGTCAAACTGAAGCTGAAATTTTAGTATTTTTATCAAAAGGGGAAAAATTTGTTGACAATTTAATTTCTTTTGACCCAAGCAAAAATGTGTTTTTTTGTTTTTTCAGCTTTTTTAAAAAACATTTCAACATTTAGGTCACTTTTTTAAATGAAAAATGCTATTTCAAAACAAATGGTTTTGTTTTTTAAATCATCTAAACCAAATTTTTGCCAATTAAATGCAATGTTTCATTTCATAATATCAAAATAAAATGTAACTTTAAAAATATGGTCCTTTTTTTGGTCCAAAAAAACCCCCCAAAAACTTTTATCAGCAATAGTTTCTGTCCCTTGCCCCAAAAAGAACTTTCATTTTTCAGGAAAATTACTCTTTGTTGAAAAAACAGTGCCATGCAAATCTATACTAAAGATGCTGCAAATGGTCTCAATCAACATAGCCAACCTGAAGCTTACACGGGCTGAGCAGCTCTGTAGTATTCCTTGGTTTCTATCAGCTTGCCAAACAGTCAGGGGTGGGGAGGGGAAGGGGGCATATAACAGTGATGGAGAGCCCCACACCACCAGCTGAGAGAGTCATTTTTAATTTCCTGAGTTCTAGGTGGAAACCCTGCTTAGTGTAAAATTTGAGGTTGCACAGCCAGATTGCTCAATCTTCTGGAAGAAATGAGAACTGAATGAATTCATGAATTCTAAATTCTCTCTGCTTGCTAGTCAGCTTAGAGTCTGAATTTCGCCCTAGAAACTATCTGCAGTATATTCTAGCTCCTCTTCCTTGCATTTCTGGAGTGCATTTTAACAATCACTTCCTATCTTTGCAGTGGCTGGACATTGACAGTGTCCTTGTCCCCCCTGCTTTGCCTGTGGCAAGTTAGGGTATTCTTAGTGTTTTGGGGTAATATGTCTGGTAAATGTGTGACAGGGTTGTTTGTGTAGTTTTAAGAATAGGTTAGACAAACCTTTGTATAAAATCATTTTTCTATGGATATTTAAGCTTTGGGCAAGGGGTTGTACTAGATCAGTGTTTCTCAACCTGTGGGCTGCAACCCAAAAACAGGTTGCAAAAATATTTGAAAGGGTCACAAGCAAGTCCCAGAAAAACGTGGGAAAGCATGGGTTTCCCCTTGCAGGCTGGCAGCATTTCAGCCTGCAAGGAGCTGCCTGGGGCAATTGGAGGCATCAGGTGCCTGTGCATCTGTGCACGTACATGCATGTGGCTGGCATCCAGCCAGGCAGGGTCATGGGAGCAGCCCTGGCAGCTGGATACAGGTAAGTATATGAGGAGTGGGGGTTGGAGGTCCAGGACTTGGCAACTGTCTGTGTGTGGGGTGAGGGGGAATGGGGTGCCTGCTGGCTCTGGGGGAAGGAGGCTGGGTGCCAAGGCTGCATCAGGGCAGAGGAGGTTAGAGGGGAAGGCACCTGCCCCTCCAGTGGGGGAAGGGAGGGAGCTGTGTGGCTGGGTCAGCTGCACTGGGGCCAGTGCCCATATTCGCAGGGGCAGGGCAACCAGGAGATACTTCTCAGGGGGCAGAAGGGGCCATGACCAGGCTGCCTGTCATGGTGCAGCAGCCCCAGCCCAGAGCAGGGGGCCGGGGAGGGAAGGGGATGGTGTCACAGGCCTCTCCTCCTCCCTCCAGCCCATGCTGGGGCCAGACTCACTTCAGTGCCACCTGAATGAGCTGGAACCACTGCAGCCACTGCACTCTGGCCCAAGTGGGACAGAGGCAGCAGGTTGGGAGTTAGGGCCACCAGCATGACCTGGGCAGGGCAAGGGACTGTGGGTCAGGAGCGAGGGCACCGTCAGGGCCAGGGGACTGGGTCAAGACTGGCCATCAATCTTTACAAAGGGGTCCTGGTACAAAAAAGTTTGAGAACCACTGGACTAGATGATCTCCTGAGGTCCCTTCTAACCCTACTTTTCTATGATTCTAATAACATATACCTTCAAAGGACAAAAATTGCAAGTATACCAGTTTTGGCTCATGACTTCATTAAATGCTGCCCTTGCAACTTTAGACAGCATACAGTGCGTATCTGAATATGCCATTATTCCCTGTTTGGTGCCCCTAATAACTGACTGATATACTCATCATAAAAAAAGACAGTTTGACCTGTTGTCTTCAGCTTTGATTTCTTAGCTGATGACATCTTCCCTGTGCCCTGGCATATACAATGCAGGAACAGACTGTCCCTTTGGACCTTCATATGCTTAAAGATGTAAGCAAGTGTTTCCATGCCTATACATCTTAAGGAATGTACGTCTTCTGTGCCTAAAACATTTTTGGGTTATACTGAACAGTCAAATTCGGCTCCATTATCCATCCCTCAAGTTCTCAACCAGCTAGGGTAAATTCTAATTGCTAACTTTTTGCATTTAATTATGTTGAAGTACTTAAAGTCTCCTAAATCTCACATCACTATCTGTCCTTGCATCACCTCCCTAGATTGTCTCTTAAGTTCTGGTAAGTTGAGAGCTCTGGTCAGGGGCTTGAATGAAATATATATTTCAGCTACTGAATATACTGGTAGCTTTGAATGATGGCTTACTATTGCTATACTCTGTGTAACAAGGGGTGGATCAAAGGATGCACATGTCATTCTGCTGGCAGTTTAACTTCACCTTTGGACTGTATCTGACACTTAAATATACATACATACATACATACATACATACATACATACATACACACACACACACACACACACACACACACACACATATATATATTTACAACACACACATATATATTTAAGCATCAGATACAGTCCAAAGGTGAAGTTAAACTGTGCCAGCAGAATGACGTGTGCATCCTTTGATCCACCCCTTGTTGCACAAAGTGTGGCAATAGTAAGCCATCATTCAAAGCTACCAGCAGTGATAATCTCTCTCTCTCCCCTCTCACTCTTAAATGAACAGCTTGCTTAGTTTGGTTTAGGTGCATTTTTAAATGCCAAGTTGGCAAATGGAAAAAGACTGAACTATTCTGAAACAAACCCAAACTTGGTCTGAGTTTTAGCCAGAGATGAGTAATCATAGCTGCTCACAGGCAACAGGAGGCTCAAAGTATAGCCAAGATGTAGCACTTTTTTCATTTGGACATGTCCAGAGATTACTTTCTTCCTAGACTGTAACCACCAGAGACTTAAAAACCCATTAAAAAATTAATAGCAATATTGTTTACTACTTAGAAGGCAGGGTCAATTTGCACTGTACAGACTAACCAAAGTAGATAGCTCACTTCATCAAATTCAGACTAACACTGCTAACTACAACTCTCTTACTACTACTACTTAGCCAGATTGTGAATACGCTGCCCACAAGTGCTATGTTAATCACAGGGGATCAAATTGTTCTCAACCCAGAGTTATGGGATAATTTCTAAGCAGTTAAACTCCAGAGGAGTTTAATGAGGGGAACTAAGGCTATATCTAAATGCCTCTTCTCCCCTCCCCATTAAATTGTACATGTATATGATAGACTTCAGAGCAATAGAGTGAAACCCAGATTAACTCTGGTACTAGAAGCAGTCTAGATGCAGAAGTGGCAGAGCTCTGTGCCAATCAGTTTACCCTGAGAAGAAGCTCCACGCACAGAACTCTATGCTGCCCTGGCTGGACTACTTAAAACCTCCTAAGTGTAGGTAATGCAAAGCCAGCTCAGAGATCCTCACTATGCTGCAAAGTGCAATGTAGATATATTTTAAATATTCCAAGAACACATGTGGAGAAAATGAGAGTTTTGTCAGGTTTTTTTTATATGTATATGGGAAATCTTGATTTTTTTTTTTGGACAGATTAGGCTGAAATCTCTTCTATTTGGTAGTTTAGTTTTGATTTTTGAAAACATTCAGACATCTCTCTCCTTTACTGCCTTCCAGAGCCAGAAAAAGTGCCCAGTGAGGTTTCCACATTTCCTTCTCTTTGGTTTCTACTCTATTCAAAACTCACACTAAATTTGAAAAAGATAATGGAAAAAGAAAACTGTCATGTCAGCTTTTCAGCTTCTGAAAAAAAATAATATGTATGAGGGGAAACTTAGGCATGATTCAGTTATGTTCTGTGGTGAAATAGACATTAATTTTTTTCTGGTCTCAAATAAATTTCTCTTTCAGTTGCTGTGTTGTCCTGTCCCCACCACATGTACTTTTCGCAATCTAAGTTCCTGGAAAGCAAACAAACCTGGTGAATTGTAAACTATAAAGGAAGTGTAAATGTTTGTGTTTTCTCTCTTGGTATGTTGTAATGCCATTCCCATGCAGATAAACAGGTCTGAAATTGGCACCATGTTGACAATCTCTCTTGGCATATTACAGACTCCCAAAGGTGCATGTGCAGAATCAGTGAAAATTGCCATTGATGTTGGATATCGTCATATTGATGGAGCCTTTGTTTATAAAAATGAGCATGAGGTGGGACAGGCCATCCGAGAGAAGATAGCAGAAGGAAAAATAAAGCGCGAAGACATCTTTTATTGTGGCAAGGTGAGAAATTGCATCAAATTACTTACTCTAATTAGTCCTGCAACTTATATTTTGTGAGTGTGCTGCATTCGTGCTTTTTGTAAACATGTCAGTTAAACTAAGCATTCTGATATTCTTCCAGATCCACTCTCCTCAGGATTTTTTTGTCTAGAACCTCCTATAGTGCCTAGGAACCATAGTCTTGGATCCAGATCCAGTTGTGCTAGACTCTGCACAAACACAGGACAAGGACCCTCTTAGCCTGTTCAGAGAGGTGCAAGGTTTCATAGGCAACAATCTCTGTAATGAGATGCAGATGTAGGTTGTCTACAAAAGCTTCTTCCTCTCTGAACCAGTGAATATCCATGGTGCCACCCTCCTTTGCCTTCTGTATGACTTCAGATTAAGACAGTTTAAAGTATTTAACATGTGGAAAACATTATCTTGCCTTTGACTTTTTACCTTTTGAAAAAGTTGCTAAAAATGACTCGTTCCTAGAAAGTAAAAGAAATAAAAACTTAAATGTTTTACCAACAAAAGGAGTAAAATGGAAGATACTGATGCTAGGTATGAGTAAAAGTGATTGAGTTCAACCTGTGAGTCAAGAGTTAGTACCCCAGAAGAGGGTATTTGACATGAGCTAATAGTCTTCATCCA